AATTTTACAAAAAAAATATAATTAAAATCTTTGAACAAAAAAGTTTTATTATTTTGATTATTAATATCTAATAACATGATAAGATTTATTAAAATATAAAAAAATACAATACAAATTAATAATAATAAATATTTAAAATTTTATCTTTTAAAATAGTAGATTTAAAAGTTCTTTCTTTATATTAAAATACTATATATAAGATTATTAAATAAAATTTAAAATTTAGCAAAATTTATATTACAATTTTATTAAAAATCAGTGAAACTCAGAAAAGGTAAAACTATATCAAAGCTTATAAAATACGAAACTATATTAAAGCTTATAAAATACAAAACTATATCAAAACCTTAGTAAAAAATTAGTAAAACCAAAGTTTGACATTTTGCTAATCCAAATGAATTTAAATAAACAATCTTAACTATATATATAAAAAATATTAATGATGATACAAATAATTACTAATTATAAAATTATATAAATTTATCTAATAGAATCATTTTATTTGAATATTCTATTTAATGATAAATAATATATTTTATTATTTTAATTACTTTTCATTTGAAAAAGAAAATAAATAAGTTAAAAGATTATTAAAAGAAAATGAATTTCTTTTATTTGAAAGGTATATAATGAATTGATAAACATAATGATAAGAAAGAGAATATAAAATCAAATTAATATAATATATCAACATTAGTTAAATTATGATAGCATATAAATTATATAAATTTTATGAATTAAATTGAGTAAATTTAGTAAGAATTTTTTCATAACAATTTAATTTAAAAATTATTACTTTATTATATACGGTATAAAATTTTTATATTTATTATTATGTAAAAATTTTCTTAGAATGTAATTAACTTGAATAATATATTAATAAATGTAAATATTATTACTAGTAAAAAGTAATTTAACAATATTTTTGTTACGCTATAATCTATGTGTAAAATTTTAATAAAACGTTAGTTATAATTGGTTTTTTTGGTATTTTTTTTTCTTTAATAATTAAATGAAGCTACTTGCAAGAAATTATTATGTAGTATTTTCCAATCGGAGCTAATTAACTTCAAAAAATACATTTGATTACGGCGTTTTTGATGTGATAAAATGAAATTTATCCTTCAATTACAGTTGATACTTTATTTAAAAATGTAAAAAGGATTTATTTTTCAAAAATAAAAAGAGCAAAGATTTATTATGTCCGAATGAAACGAAGGAACGGATTTTATTTTATCCAGTGAAATCGAATCAGAAGAAACTGGGTTTAAATCCATACGTCAAATATAGGTTCTAAACTCTAGACTTCACCCCAAATCTCATGCTCACGTTTTTATACCCAAGTTTCTATAATGACAATTACGATATATCTCGGGTTCTTCGTGGCTGAGTAAAGAATGATTTTGCCGGAATTGGTATAAGTAGATTCACATACCCAAAATTGGGTCTCGTCAAGAAAATTGACAATCAGATATGCTGGTGATTATTAATACAAAAAAATAAACCGTGTTAACCATTCTTTATTTTTTGTTAGGATATACTATTCTGAAAGCAGATTGGGCGAAAGAAAAACAGAATGATAGTTAGTCTAATGCGTACGACATACATTTATATTTTATTGGACAATATATTTCAGTGGTATAAAAAGAGTTTCACATAATCCTCAACTTTTATAACGGAATCTTTTTATAATTTAACAAATTAAGCTAAATTTTTATTTATTTATTTATATATTATTATTATTATTTTTTTTTTTTTTTCTTCTTTTAATTTTGTGATTTCAATTTTGGATTCGAATAAATTAATCCTTGTTTTTATGAAATCGATTAAATTCAATTAATGGATAATATTACCTTTTTTCAATAAAAAAAACATTATCATCATGTTGCGATATTTTTATCTTTGCGATAAACCGAAGAAAATAAAAATGACAACTCATTCCTTGTTCGGATTTCTATCAAGAATAAAGCAGGAATATCATTAATTAAAAGAAAGTGACGAGAATACAAGACGATGGAATAAAAAGGATTTGCTTAAAACATACCAATGAAATGGAGGGTTACTAAGTGTGAAATCATCCAGACCTTGATCCGGATATGAATACATGGCAAAGCCCTCAATCATTAAATCGTCAAGAGGGATAGGCTCATAAGGTCTGAACTCACAATCAGGACAAAACCATTGTCCTGACGGTTGTTGTGTAAGACCTACACAATCCCAGTGATACCACGCATTCTCACACTGATTGTATAAATTTTTCAAAAATGAGTAAATCGTAATAATGTTGTCATCAAAAAATATATAAATTAAAACTTACTTTAGGATGATCACATTGGATCATATTACCAAATTCTTGCTGTTAATGTAAATATAAAACATAAGTTGTCATTAAGTACGTAATACGATATATTAAATATCAAAAATAAATAAATAAAAAATTATCAAATTAACTCGTCTGCAGAAACAATATAGAGGTTCGCTTGGATCGAATTCCATATCACTAAAATCATCACTGTTAATTTGAAATCAAGAGTTCCAAAATTATTATCGGGCAACTGAATTAATCAAAAAAAAAAAAATTGTTAAACGAAATATACTTACTCTGATGAAATTTTACAAATTTATTTTGATTTGTCAATAAAAAATTAAAAGTTAATGGGGAAAGATTGCCAGTAAAACCAATACAAATAAATACTCACGATCCAAATTTATATTGTTTCGGGATAGTTCGTCATCTAGCCTTTCAAGGTGTCTAGAGATCTACATTATAATTTAATATAATATGTCACAAATATGTAAATAATTTTTGAAAAATTAACAAAATTGGTAATACTTTACCAGGCTATACAGCTTATCTGCAACTGCAATTTTTTCGTCCTGTTTGTGTAGGGCATCATCATAGGCCTTCTGTCAATCATTAGTGATAAAATAGGGGGAGATATAAATTAGGGAATATTACCATATTAAGACCCTACATTATTAATTGCTAAGCCACATTATCACAACCGTGCCACATATGCCACGTGTCAAATACGGCAATTATAAACCTGATATAAAAACTCTGACAAACTGCGGAGGAACCTTTTTTTTTTCCTTTTAAAATAAAAAATTTTTATTGATGATATTATACCTCCGTTTTATCTTTCCAGTAGCTAACAATTTTTTCTTCTTCGTCACTTTGATCAGATTCCTCTAATATTTCAAAATATTTTTCTTGACATTCTTTGTAAATTGCACGTAACTCTATAGGTGGTTATGTATTGATAAGTTTTGCTAAAATATACACAATGATTTAATTTCAAAAAATAACACGACTTAAAGACCATACTTTCTAGCTGTTCGTCTAGAATGTGTAATTCGGTTAAGCTTTGAACTACCTCGGAACCCAAATTGTATATAGCTATATTGAGGAAAGGTGATAGTATGTAAGAAATAAGGAAAATTAAAGTATTAGTTGATCAGTATCTGTTTTGCAAAAGTAAGAAGAAAAAAATATCTTTTTTTTTACAAGGAAAAGTACTATATAATAAACTAACATTCAATGTAATCATCAAGAACTTCGGTTGCTGATTTAAGTTCATTATCTACACACATATCATTAGTTTCTTTGTCCATTTTATTTTATACAAGATTTTTTTTTTTTATAAAAAAAATTTTCGTTTGAAATTGAGACGATGAAAAAAAAAAAAAAAAAAAAGTGTAGTGAAAAAAGGAGTAGTGAACCGAAAAAAAGGTGGTTAAAAAAAAAAAAAAAAAAAAAAAAAAAAAAAAGTGAAAAAAGTAAAATACCACATGCACCTAAAGTTAACGTCAAATTACCATCAGACTTTAATGTCACAAAAAGGTTGCCAAAAGTAGAGGGTCGTGCGAACTTTTTTCACTTGTTTCACAAATATGCATAGTAGAAAATCCGTTGACAATCCAAACCATCCAATCAACAAATTTTGTAACTTGATCTAACATCTTGTGACTTGTGATATCTGGAGGAGTTGAAAAAACTTCAAAAATCTGTAATTGGAATTAGACAATGCTTTCGACTCAATATTGATTACTTTTATAAATGATAATCCAGAAATCATGCAGGGGTACACACACAACTGAGTAACCATTTATATTCATTGTTTGTGCGACATGTGCGACTTTTAATACTATAACTTTTATATTTACGTGGCAAACTTTAGTTGATGTGACAGCTTATTGTGATGCGATCGCGATCACAATATTATTTTAATATTTCTTGAACGATGTAATATAATCTAAAAATCAAAAAAATTTCATGATGATAAACAAATAAATAGATACATATGAATACATAAAATGCGTATTTTATAAAAAAAAAAAATTTTTTTTTTTCCCCTCTTCCTTTCTATATTCTTTATACTGCTTTTACTGCCAAATTATAATTCATCGTGCTCATCATGCTTTTCTTCCGCAACTTCAGTGGTAGTTGGTGCCGATTCTGATGTTGTTGATGACTCGGCGGTAGAAACATCAAGGTCAACTTTGTTAAGTGCATTCTTGTTCAAGAATTCAACGATACTTTCATAACTTCTATCTCCTTGATAATCTACAATTTCGTTATCACCAGCTTTGAAAAGTTTGATTGTTGGGAAACCGCTAACTTTGAATGTAGCTTTAGCAGGAAGGTCATTTTCAGTTGCATCCATCTTGGAGATGAGAATCTTATCCTTTACATTTGCGTAAGTTTCTCCCAATTTTTCATAAGTAGGAACAAGTTTCTTACAATGTCCACACCCTAAAAAATAATAAATTGAACCTCCTTCAGATTTTTTTTTTTAGTACACGTGATATTAATGCTAAGATGTTTACTTACATGGTGCATAAAATTCGACCAAGACATCCTTAGTTGCATCGTACACAACGTCTTCAAAGTTGTCAGCAACCAAGACAAAAACGGGTTCGTCATTCTTCTCGGGAATCGGTTGAGATTTAATGCTTGGTTTTATTTCTCCCTTAACAAATTGAGTGACGAATTCCTTAATGGCTTCTGTAGTGATTTCTTTGCTTTGATCAAATGGAAATTTCAAATTTTCCTCAGGTTTTGAAATACCAAATGCGGGCCATGTTTGTTTCAAATTGATGTTTTCAGCGTGTTGACCAAACTTTTCCGCGTCAATGTATACAAAGCTAACTTGACCTTTGAATTCTTTTGCGACGGATTCAACTTCTTGACCAAGTTTGGTTCTTTGCTCTGCGTTTTCATAAAATAGGAATGCAAGAGGTAAACCTGAATCAACGTAAGAGGCATAATTGTCGGGTCCAATTTCTGCCAATAAAGGTATGGAATTTTTCTTGATAAAGGTAGTAAGTTCCTCTTTGGTAAATGAGCCCTCAAGTATATTTTTACCCTCATCAAATTTCTTGTAAAGGATGACAGTGGGTGGTTTGACTTCAGCCTTAGTGATGACATCTTTTTGACCCGTCGCACCAAAAAGAAAATCTTCACGTAATTCTTCTGCGGTTTGTGAAAAAGTGTTGTATTCCTCTTGATTATTGTCATCAAAGAAGCCAATAATAACCTTTTCATCAGAATCTTTGAAAGTGTCAAAATTCTCAACATTTACGTCGGATATCGCGGGCAAAGCTTGTCTAAAGTTGATTAATTAATTATTATTATTATTTTAAATGAATACATAACATACATATAAATATTGGATTGGAATTTAAGATTCATACTTTTTCATGTAATTGACAATAAGATCGGCCTTTCTGCCACCATTATATTCTGATGCATTACCATCCTTGAAAACTTTAAGGGTAGGATAACCTTTAATATCTTGTTCGGAGCAGACTTGGGTCTCTGCTGTACAATCAACCTTTGCAAGTTTGATATTTTCGACTTTTAAAGCGGTAGCAGCAATTTCATATTCAGGTGCTAATTAAAAAAAAAGAGTTAAAAAAAAATGTTGCAGTTCATCATCAAATAAAATTTAATTATTGGCTAAAAAAAAACAAAAAAAAGATTATGTACCCAAAGCTTTACAATGTCCACACCATGGCGCATAAAATTCAACGAGAATGAGTTTTTCCGGTTCAACAATTGTTTTAAAATTATCTTTTGATAAAGTAATAACATCAGATTGTTCGGCTGATACGATAGTGCAAGCTAGAAAAGCTCCAGCCGCTATGGAAGATAATAAATTTTTAATGAGCATGTTCGGGGGGTAAAAAAAAAAAAAAGAAAGAAAAAAAAGAAAAAGGAACAAGGATGTGAGAGAAGGACCTTGCGAATTGACTTTTTATTTTTATAAAAATTTTCGGTTTTGTTGTCAATTGATAATTGGGTGCAATTGCATGCGATGATCATTATAAAGGTAAGACATTTCGTCTCTTCGGATTGGTCCGTTCCAGTCCGGTCGGATTCAATTCTTTTCTCGCGTTGGGATCCATTCATGAGACCCGTCCTGACTGGTCCTATAAATCTAAGGCTTTGAATCAATTGCTTAGTGTTAGGCATATTTGTCTTCCCGAAAAGAACATTTTATGGGGCCTCGGCACTTGAACAAGTTTGTGGTTAATCATTACACATATATCATAATAATCCTGCGTGTAAATAATGCTTTTTATTGTTTAACATTTATTATTTATTATTAAAGCAATTATTGGTAGTTACAAATCGACAATTCTGGTGATCCGATTCAACTTTACTTTATTATAATAAAGTCTATTTTTTTTAAATTAAATAATGATATAATAACCGGTTCCGTCCGGACTGGGCCGCAGATCAATCCAACCTTAATCCCGTCATTGTTTACTATCTATATTCTATATTTAGATATCCAATCTTCAAACGTGTCGGTTAATCATCTACAAAATCAACAAACGAGAAAGAAATCACCTTGTTTTAAAGCACAATGTCTGTAAAACAGTGGTAAGTGTAATTTTGATTTACAAATTCTATTTTCGAGAACGAACGCGTAACAGCTTTTTAAAAATTTTTTATTCAGGCGACAATTTAACTTTTTTGATGTTCAACAAGTCAAAGATGCTAATGATTCAACAAAGTCACCAGAGGTTTTTCAAGTAATTAATTCCACCACTTCTGCAATAAGCACTGATCGTGAAATAATTCGTAAACCTAACTTTAATCTTTCATAGAAACCCGACATAACAGTGAGCACGAGCGGCCGAGGAAACATTATCTTGGCTGATATCCTTTTTTTTTTAAAAAAAATAGCTCGAGAAGAATTCTCTCATTTCTATCCCTAACGATCCATTAATATGTGCGCTTAGATCGCACAAATTTCTTTATTTAATTACATTCCTCTGGAAATGTTCACATTGTTGATCGATTGTTTAATGTACAATCATTTATTGCCTATGAAGTTGGACGAGTGACGCATATGAAACAAATGAAGCAAAAGAATATCTTGTTAACAGTCGGAGTATGTTGTTGGAATTTCAATTACTATTTGAATCCTTATTTATATGATTCATTTCTAGTTGTCGATTATTTGAGATCTTTTTCGCAAATTCATAATTCCCTGTTATTAATAGGAAGTAGATCCTCCATTAATAAAAATATGGGACCTCGATAAACATGATAAGTCTAAAGGGACTCCCATTTGTCTGCGAACCATCAAGGTTAGCCATGGAGGAAAACCTTTTCCCGTATCAACAATTGCCGTATTAGAGAATTTGGGTCAAATCGCCGTCGGTTTAGACAATGGAGTTGTAGTGTTGATTAAAGGCGATCTTTCCAGGGATCGTTATACCAAACAAAAGGTTATTCATGAGAGTGATGAACCTGTTACAGGTGCCCTAGCTTGACATGATTCCTCGTTAATATCATATAAAATTTTAAAAAATAAATATGTGCTTACTTTTTACACATTTCTTGCTTAGGTCTCGGATTTAAAGAACATAATAAGACAATTATCTTATTTATAGTTACAACGAATAATGTTTTAACTTGTATCACAACAAGCAGGAATTCCCTTGTAAGTTTGTTAAGTCGTATACTTGTATGATGTTATTATGTTGTTTTTGATATTTATCACATTTAACACAAATGTTTCACTCTAGAATGTTATCGATGATCAAGGTTGTGCTTTGGGATGTGCAGTAATTAGTGATACCACACACGAAATGGTTGTCGCCAAAGACGAGGTTTGAAAAAGTTTATATATGCCACCTTCTTGATTATTATTTTTCTTTTTTATTAAGTTTCAATAAAATTTTAGGCGATTTATTTTTATGGGCCTGATGGGAGAGGAGCTTGTTTTGCTTACGAGGGTAACCTAAAAATTTATAATTAATTATGCAATTATGTATATTTTTCATATTAGTTTACTAAGTCAGTCATTTGTACCTAATAACGATAGGCACGAAATCTGCCGTGACATGGTTCAAATCAAACCTTATTATAGTATCTCCACCTGCTTCACAGCCAACGCGTCTTACAACCACCACTCGTACCGGATTATCTCTTCAGAATAACTCTTCGCAAATTTCTGTTCCTTTTGAATTAACAAAGGTTACCATATTTGATACTGCAAACAAGTTTATTGCTTATGTGGGAACTTTCTCTCATGGAGTACGAACAATATGCTGTGAATGGGGTGGCATTTACATTCTCGGAATGGACGGAAAGGTTATCTTGAAGTTTTATCACCATTTTATTGGCTTATATCATGCAAAGAACCAACCAATATTTAATTTTCCTTTTATAAAACTGACAGTTATATCGTCTCGAAGAAAAGGATACGCCAACAAAACTCGAAATCCTGTTTAAGAAAAATTTATATTTGCTTGCAATTAATCTTGCGCACAGTCAGAAATATGATGATGCTAGTATTTCAGAAATTTTTAAGAAATATGGCGATCATTTATACAGGTATGGTAATATTTTATACGAATGAAAATTTATAAAATTCGATTATGATTAATATATATTTGGTCATGAATTAATTAGCAAGGTAGATTATGATAGCGCAATGGCTCAATATATTCGTACTATTGGACAACTTGAACCATCATACATTATTCGAAAGGTAATATCTTTGTAATGTATTCATTAATATGTATAGGTTCTAATAGATAATAACACTTTCAAACTTAATAGTTTTTGGATGCTCAGCGTATACACAATCTTGTAAATTATCTTCAAGAATTGCATTCTCACGGTTTAGCAAATTCAGATCATACAACTTTATTGCTCAATTGTTATACGAAACTTAAAGATGTTGCGAGGCTCGACCAATTTATAAAGGTACAATTATAATTCTTAATTTAATGTAAAGAGCACACTAAGTGCATAATTGAGGTATATCATAATTTAATAATTTGAACAAATTTATTTAATTAAAAGACAGATAATGAGCTCAAATTTGACTTGGAGACAGCTATCAAAGTATGTCGACAAGCAGGATATTATGAGCATGCTGTTTATTTAGCAAAAAAGGGTGATGAGCATGATTTGTAGGTAATCCTTTAATGTTATTTTGCGCTCATTGGGGAAAATTATTATGGGTTTAGCGATAATAGAATTCTTTATGTTCAGGTATTTGAAAATACAGATCGAAGATGTCAAAGATTATGAAAATGCGTTAGATTATATACGAAATCTTGGAGCATTTGAGGTATTATTATTTTCTTGCAATTAGTTTCTTTTTTAACATGAAAAAAATAATTCTTGATTGTTATTAATATTATTGATTATTAGGCGGATAGAAATTTGCAAAAATATGGGAAAATTCTTCTGAATCATCTTCCAGAACCTACAACTAAACTTCTTATTGATTTATGTACTGGTGAACTACTTGCTGCGGTACAGCGTGCGCGTACTCCTGAACCAACTGTTCCTACGGTGGTACAACAATATCCAAGTAGTATGAACTATTCCCCCAGCCTTTCATTTTTACCATTTGGTTCGTCATCTTCACCAAATGCAGCGGAAGTGCTTAGTGCTCCTATTTCTATAGTACAAACTAATGCAACGGCGGTTACAACTCGCTTAAAAAAAACTCTCGCATATAGGCCGCCACAAGTTCGTGTTTTTATGTCATTATTTGTAGACCAACCGAATTACTTGATACAGTTTCTCGAAGAAGTTTCTCAAAAGCGTTGGGGCGGCTTCGGTTTTGATCATAAATCTGCACAACATAATCATTCTTCAGCAAAAGAACATGTTCTCGCCGATAATGATGCAGACGAGAGAGCTGAGTCCGTAAAGAGTTCTGGTGACGAGCTTGATCCAGAAATTGAAGAGAAAAAAGCAGTGTGGAATACATTATTAGAGCTTTATCTATCTGAGGCTTATTTACCACCTGTGATTTCTACTAAGGATGCTAAAGGAAGAAAATTTGGCGCGCCCGGTACTTTTGCCGTATCAACAGAAACTGAACGTGTCAAAGAAAAGTTAATTAGAAAAGATAAAGCATTACAGCTTTTAAAGAATGAATATGTCTGTGTTTGAACCTTGTTGATTATACTAGTTCATTATGTTTATTAAATTGAAATTATTGACTTTTAACAACAATTCATAATCAATTATAGATCTCATATGATGCAAATCAAGCGTTGGTGCTCTGTTATTTAGCACAATTTGACGAGGGTATTATTTACTTGTATGAGAAAATGAAAATGTACGAGGATATTCTAAGGTTATATATGGCCAAGAATAATACTGAGAAAGTAATTCAAGCATTGAAAAAATACGGGTATGAAATTGATCATTTATATGTGCGAACAAATGTGATTTTTCGTCAAATTTATATCAAGAACTTTGTGATATCTTTAATAGATCTCAAGATCAATCTCTTTATCCTCTTACTTTGACATATTTTTCATCTTCACCAACAAATTTGGAAACCTCGACCCCTGAGCTTTTAAAGATACTTGATCACATAGATTCCTATAACTTGATGCCACCTTTACAAGTTATACAGGCGCTCAGTAGAAATTCTGTGGCAACATTGGGTATGGTTAAAGGTTATATGGGAAAAAGAGTTGAATTAGAAAAAAAGGAAGCTCAGGCAGATAGGAAATTGATACAGAGTTATCGTGAGGAAACGGACAAGAAGAGAAAAGAAATTGATGAATTGAAAACTGTGTATGTAGCTTTGTGCCCAGTTTATTATCAAGTTTTAGTATTATTTATTATTATTATTATTTAAATACCAATAATTTAATTAATTTTTTATAGTGCACGAAT